AGATTACAAATTCACCAAATATTTCATTGTTCATCCGATATGCATGAAAATTTTCAGACATAAAGTAAACATACAATTCTGTTAATTCGCAAAATTTCATAATTTTTGAGACTTTACAAGTGTACTAAAAGAAAATTAGAAATGGGATGTGCTGCAGAAACGGCAAAAATTCTGTAGTACATACGGGAGACTAAACAATTCATCAAAAGTTCATTCTTCCTCCAATGTGCATGAAAATTTCCAGAAATGAAGTAAACATATAAATTTACTGTCACTCAAAATTCCATAATTTTTTCAATTTTACAAGTGGGCTCAAAATAAAATCTAAATGGAATGTGCTGCAGAAACCGCATAAATTTTGCAGTACAGTCTCGAGATTAAAAATTCATCAATAATTCATTTTCAAACCAATGCTCGTGAAAATTTTCATATTTAAAAAAAAACATCTCAATGTATATCATACTAAAATTTCATGAATTTATGAGTTACATTGATATATCAAAATAATATCACAAACAGACTATTCTGCAGACTTCTGCAGAATTCCAGCAACATGGTATCACACTTAAAAATTTACCATAAATCCATTTCTTGTCCCAAAAACGTGGAAAAATACCAGCATCTACAATCCATTAAATATTACGACATGATCGAATTTCATAATATTTGGAGTTATGGAAGTCTATCAAGCCCAGGTTATTGACATGAATGGATTTCCTTTTAATGAGACTTTAATGGAGTCATACCCCAATAATATCATAGTTTGAAAAGACTATAATTTAGCATGATTAATTTTGACAAAAGTTTAGGCAAGAAATAATTCACACCACAATTGAATCAATTTATTAAAAATTTGAAAACGCCAATACGAACCGACTGAAAGCAATTCATAATAATGTAATTAACCACACATCAAAATTATGACAGCAAGCAATCCTTCATAATACAATAATTTGTTTATATATACGTAAGTTGCCAAATAGTTTCACCATTATCAGTTCGTCATAAAACAAACAAATTGGGAATGCCTTTTAGAACATATTAATTAACAATGCTAAATCCAAATTTTAAATCATGAAAGCATGAAATCCAATACAATATTCATCCAGAAAACTCACATCTGCAAGGATTAATTTAATAATTTGACAGAATCGTAACAGAGAACAGTCCAAAATATAAGCAAACTAAAAAAAATATTTTTTTTTTTTTAAAGGCTAGATTTTGCAACACAATAAGCGGAAGTGTAAATTCTCAACTCAATCAATTTTGAGATGGAGAAATAAAGGTTGATTGCCCAGAATCAACACCATCTTTATCTAATTCTCAATTTAGATGAAACCAAAAGCTTAATTTTAACTCAACCAAATTAGGTAGATTAAATTGACCGATTTCATACCTTTCTGAAGAGAATTCTTACCGAATAACACCGAATAGATCGAAAAAGCCGCCATTGAGGAGTTTTGCAAGAGAGCCAAAGACTTCACATGTGACAGCCCGTCTTGGATTATTCGTCTTGTAGGGGTAAAATGACGGTTTTGCCCCTAGTGGATAATTGTTGTTTGCGTGGTTGTTTTGGGTGCTTGGTTGGTTGTATCTCAGCCACACATCCATCTTCATTTCCACCACCCTCTCCCGTTGACTCTCTCTATCCCGTGTCCCTGTCTCTCTCTCTTCTTCTTCTGCTTGTGTACGGACAAGACCAAGACACTCGAGAACGTTGTAGATCGAGGAAGGAAATCATACCTTTGTGTTCGTGAAGTCCATACGAGTTTAACCATACCCATTTCAGGTAAGGAAACCTTCGTTTTCACGTCGAACCTGAGATGTTCAATTCGGGGTACTGTTCATGCACACGTAAAATCATGCGTTTTTGGGAATTTCAGGGTTGTAGGAAGTTTGGTGAGGTCCTTAGGAAGCTCGGGATGGTTCGTTTGAAGGTTTTGGATGTCGGGATCGTGAGTTGCAGGTTTGGGCGGATTTGGTGAGGATTTTCCAGCAAGATTCCGTTGGTTTTAGTGCTTGAAAGTGGTAAGGTTTTGTTCTTCTAGTTGTAAGCTTCATTTTGGTACCAATTTCATGAAATTTGGGTGAAAAACGAGTGAGAAATGAAGTTTATAAGTTTTTCCAGTTTTCTGGTGACGGCGACGGCGTCGGAGGTTGGGCGGAGAAGATGATGGAATATTCCTAACGGCGTTAGGTTGACTGTAACGGAATTCGTTAGTTTTAACGGAAAATATTCCTGACGTCGTCAGTATGCCAGACATGTGCCTGCGTGTGGGCGGCGCGTGTGGCCGTGCCTTAGGGGCCCGACGTGGATGGGAATATACATTTAAGGATCACTTCCCTGGGTGATGTGGGATGTTACAATCCACCCCCCTTAGGGGCCCGACGTCCTCGTCGGCACACTTTCCACATTTAAGGATCATTTCCCTGGGCGATGTAAGATGTTACAATCCACCCTCCTTAGGGGCCCGACGTCCTCGTCGGCACACACGTGACCAGGGTTAGGCTCTGATACCAATTGTCACATCTCGGCCCGGGGTGGATCACTTCCCGGGCCCGTTCCACCACCGTAGCACAATATTGTCCGTTTTGGGCTTACCATTCCCTCACGATTTTGTTTTTGGGAACTCACGAGCAACTTCCCAATGAGTCACCCATCATGGGATTGCTCTAGCCCCTTTTTCGCTTAACTTCGGAGTTCCGATGGAACTCGAAGCCAGTGAGCTCCCAAAAGGCCTCGTGCTAGGTAGGGATGGGAATATACATTTAAGGATCACTTCCCTGGGCGATGTGGGATGTTACAATCCACCCTCCTTAGGGGCCCGACGTCCTCGTCGACACACATGCGACCAGGGTTAGGCTCTGATACCAATTGTCACATCCCGGCCCGGGGTGGATCACTTCCCGGGCCCGCTCCACCACCGTAGCACGATATTGTCCGCTTTGGGCTTACCATTCCCTCACGGTTTTGTTTTTGGGAACTCACGAGCAACTTCTTAGTGGGTCACCCATCATGGGATTGCTCTAGCCCCCTTCTCACTTAACTTCGGAGATCCGATGGAACTCGAAGCCAGTGAGCTCCCATAAAACCTCGTGCTAGGTAGGGATGAGAATATACATTTAAGGATCACTTCCCTGGGTGATGTGGGATGTTACAATCCACCCCCCTTAGGGGCTCGACGTCCTCGTCGGCACACACGCGACCAGGGTTAGGCTCTGATACCAAATGTCACATCCCGGCCCGGGGTGGACCACTTCCCCGGCCCGCTCCACCACCGTAGCACTATATTGTTCTCTTTAGGCCCCGACTACGCCCTCACAGTTTTGTTTCTGGGAACTCACACGAGAACTTCCCAGTGGGTCACCCATCATGGAATTGTTCTAGCCCCCTTCTCGCTTAACTTATGAGTTCCAATGGAACTCGAAGCCAGTGAGCTCCCAAAAGGCCTCGTGCTAGGTAGGGATGAGAATATACATTTAAGGATCACTTCCCTGGGTGATGTGGGATGTTACACAATATATTACGTATATATTATATGAGGGTACGTTTGAATTTACAAAAATCATTAATTGGTATATTTATTTGCAATTTTGGTACGTTTGATTTGATACATATTGTAAATAGATACATTATTTTTATTTTGTACACATTGTGTATTGGTATGTTTATATTATTCTCAATCATATTTTTACTTAACGTACTAAAAGAAAAACTTATTTCGGTACGTTTGATTTTGGGGGATTTAAAAATATTTTAAACTATTTTGAAAAGAAAATATTTTAATTGTAGATAATTATTGCTAAATTGTAGCATTATTGTGAAAATAAATTGAATCTAACCAACTCTTTTTTTTTTTTTTTTTTTTTTTTTATATATATATTTTTTATATTTTTACAATTATCTCTAAATAGCAGTTCTATCATGGGAACCCTCCCCCAGGCAATACACTATACTATCCACCCAATGAACAATAATCGCCCTTAATGAACAGTAACCGCTTTTTACATCTCCACCGTTGCACTTCAATAGCCCTGACAATAGACAATAAAATAATAATATTTTTTTTTCTGGGAGTAAATTCTCTTTGCGTTGAAACTGTACCAAAGGACACCCAAATTTCGCATACATGTTTTGGAATGAAATCAAGTCATAAAAGTAAAATCCTATGACATTTTCGAGGCCCTACCCTGCTCGGAAAAATGAAGTTTTGCCGAAGCTCTCTCGGCTTGGCAATTTGTGCACCACAGAGATGAGGGTTGTAGAGAGAGTGCATATCAGAGAGTTTCAGAAAGCCATAACCTCCAAATTCTTCCTTTCCATCCATCTATATCTCTAAAAAAACAAAAAACAAAGAGAGAAGACAACAAAGATCCATCTCTCGATTGTTCAAAATTTGAATGAAAAAATGGCACAGAGTGCAGAGAAGGAAGAGATGCATCGGTAGAAGTGCTTCAACGCCGCATCGGCCGCCACCACCGCCACTTCATCGTCGTTGTCAACGGCGATTGTTTGAGATAAAATAGAGGAGGATGGAGAAGCAAATGGAGACAAAGAAAGAGGAGTTGGAGGGATGCCAATGTTGGTGAGAAGATCGAAAATGGTGGCTTCAAGGCCAGTGGGTGCCTTAATAACGTGGCTGACGTTGCCCTGACATCAGCCCATGTCAGACAGCCTTCAGGTGCTTGGGCCGGCACGAATCCACGACCTTGGAGCTCGGGCTTGCTCGCCAGCCAATGCTGGACTTCCTCCCTCGGGCAATCAAGCCCTTTTCCACAGCCTGTCCCTCAAGCAGTTGCTCTAACAAGAGTGTAATTAAAAGGCTAGATTGTAAGAAATTTGTTACAATATAATATACATATAACATTAAAATTATGATAAAAAAAAGTTTAATCAAATCACTAAAAAAACATAAATATTTAATCTAAAAAAATTCAAAAATGAGACACATGTATAAAAGATCTTAAATTAATATTTGGGCAGCGGAGATTACAATACAAGAACACGTCTCTTTCTGCTGCTCAGCGTCTAGCGTCTATTATCCTTCCTCGTTATTCTCACCTACATCAAATTTTCTGTCCATATAAGAGGAAGAACCGTTGATCCTCCGCTCAAATAAATTCCAACTCCAACCGATTTCTGCGAAACCAAAACCAAAAAAAAATGACAATCTCTTTGCAATCTCCGCCTTCCTCAACCGTCTCCTCCTCGTTCCAGGTAAACTCCACCAACTCCACACCTTCTCTCTCTGCTCTCTCTGGATTCTCAGATTTTCTTACTGCTAGCTGACTAACTACTGTACGAACTGTAAAATTAAATCACGGCAGGGGACGAGGCTGAGGTTCTCCAATGGATCCCCACCTTCCAATTTACGCTTCACCTTGCAGCGATCCTTTCCTCTCATTCGCGCTTCCACTCTCGACACCGGTTAGTCTCGCTCACTGCTCTCACTCCTCAGCTTTCCATTTTCTTTTGTTGTTGAATTAATTGGATTTTCAGGTTCAACCACGGAATTGGAAGCCGTTTCTAGCTACAGCGAGATCGTTCCTGACACCGTGATTTTCGATGACTTCGAGAGGTCTGTAATAATTGTTATTTTATTTTAAAAAAACGAGCGATATTATCTATATTAAAGGGGGTGGGAGAGTGTGAATATGGTTCAAATTCGCCTTTGGCGAGAATTGAACCTAATAATCTAGTTTCGTCTTTGGCGAGAATCGAACCTAAGACCTCAAGTGAAGAGGAATTTCACTAGACCGCATACTAAGTGACTTCGAGAGGTCTATAATTAATTTTAGGTTTTCTTATAAGCTTTCCTTAAATGAAAAAGAAGTGGACTTTGAAAATTCGACGATCATGCTGTATAAATTATGAATTGGATATTTTGTTGAATTGATGATAATGTCGTTTCGAATTGATCATACATAACCATTATCTTTCGCAAGATAAATTACATGAATGATTTTCTTCTTTTGATTTTTATGTTTTTGAATATTTTGGCTTTTTATCAATAGGTTTCCTCCAACTGCTGCAACTGTGAGCTCTTCTCTACTCTTGGGTATATGTAGCCTCCCCGATACAATCTTTAGAGTAAGCATTTAATTGGAAAATTAGAAAACTTCAAGTTACTCTTTAATGCTAATATGGGAAGACGTGTCGTATATTCTGATTTATTTTTCTTTGGTGTAGAATGCCGTGGATATGGCGCTGGCAGATTCGGAGTGTAATCTGCATGAAAACTCCAACGTGAGATTGTCATGTTTCGTCAACAAGGTTGGTTTTCTCCATCTTATTCATTAGTATGCATATGCCTTGTTAGATTGATCATAGGGTTTTAAATTTAGTTCTGGGTGTGTAGGCTTTAGTGAATGTTGGTGGTGATTTGGCAAAACTAGTTCCTGGCCGAGTGTCTACTGAGGTGGATGCTCGTCTTGCTTATGACACGCATGGAATTATCAGAAAGGTAATCCTTTCTTCCTGGTGGTTCAATCTATTATTTTCGACTAGCACATTATTGGGAAATTAATCATATTGCTTAATTAATTGCGGATGTTCAATTATAATTTTTTGGTTTCTATCTTAACTGTGTATGCATTCAGCTCATTCTTAGTTGTTTTTAGAGCAGCTATATGACTTGTTAATGATAATGGTTGGTGCAATGTTTTGCATTGAAGTTTCAGAACTTCTATAAAATGTATAGATTTGATAGTTTGTAACGAGATGACTTTTACATTCCAAACCACTGTTTTCCTGAAAACAAACTTTTCTAGTAATTAGAGGATAAAATGTGTGAGAAGAATGCGATACTGAAATTTTCAGTATCGCATTCTTCTTACAGTTGTGCACTTTGTTACTTTAAGTGCCAATGTTTTTTTTGCTTATTATCTGAAGGCATATCCTTTCTACTATGACATCATTATGCTATTTTCTATCTTTTCGTTGCAGTCTGTTACAATTGGTATGTATATATTTCAGGTGCATGACTTGCTGAAGTTGTACAATCAAGTTAATGTTCCTCCTGAGCGTTTGCTGTTCAAAATTCCTTCAACTTGGCAAGTGAGTGTCAGATAAAATTATAAGTGTAGTGAATGTTCTGTGTTGACTTGATACAATAAGGCCATTATTGTTTTGCATCATTTTGTTTCATTGGTTGTTGGGTTTATGTACAGGGAATAGAGGCTTCAAGATTACTGGAATCTGAGGGCATACAGACACATTTGACATTTGTGTACAGGTAAGCTTCTTACAATTAATTGGTGTAAGCTTGATAAACCTATTTGAAACAATTGATTGTATTATGCAAAGGAATACATGATCTTACTATGCTTCATATATGCTTGAAAAACTGGTTTGAAATATGATGTTTGATGTTGCCCCAAGTTCTATAAGGGCCTGAGTTTTACGTTTTAGTGGAGATAATTATTCATGCTACCCCTCCTTCCCTTTCTCCCTCTCCCTCTTCCTCTTTGGTTGGGAGACAAGATAGCCTGCTTATGTGTTGAAAATGGTTCCAGAACCATGATCTGGGTGATATCTAGAGGAGCCATTATTGGTATTATGTGGATGACATGTTTTCTTGTTTTGGCAATAAAAAATGCATGAATGTCAATCTATAATCCTGTAGCAGAAGCTATTAGGTTTTGATGGTGGAAAAAAAAAAAAAAATCAGAATGCTGCTTTGTGATTTTTATCATGTGTGGTTTATTAAAATACGTAAGCCGACTTTGCCATTACCCTTGCTCGTAGAAGACACCACACCATGGCCTTTTAAGATGAATTCAATTTTAATTCTTGTGTTTGTTGATGGTTTGGTCATTTTTCTTCAGCTTTGCTCAAGCTGCAGCTGCAGCCCAAGCTGGCGCTTCTGTTATCCAGATTTTTGTTGGTCGTCTTAGGGTAATGTTCTGCCACATTGTATAATGGAATGTTTTTTTTTAAATTCAACTTCAGTTTATCTGAGTTTCTAAAGGTCAAATTTATCATTCAGGATTGGTCTCGCAACCATTCTGGTGACCCTGAGATAGAAGCTGCTCTCAAAAGAGGGGAGGATCCTGGGTTAGCCTTGGTAAGTTGGAAAGTTCTCATCTTGTGGTTTTTTTATATTTTATTTTATTTTATTTTAAAAAAACTATTGTATGAATTTTGATTTTTGACCTCTATATGATTACCAAATATAAACTGGTAGTTTTTGTTTTTCAATTTAAAGTTTCATATACCAAAATCTGACAACCAGTTAGTAGCTTAAAGAATTTGTTCAAAGACCAACCAGACAGAACACTGTTGGATGCATTCCTTCGCTAGCAGGTCTTCAGCCCATCACTGATTGAAACAGGTTGATGGTAGCTCAATCACAAGACATTGAGTAACTGAAGCTTAGTTCCCAGACTCGCTTTCCCCATCACTGATTGAAGTCTTCTAGATGCTTTAATTTCTGGCTATGCCGTGAATTACTCATGTGACAGTGGAGCTTTGATATAGGAAGATATTGAGTATAAACTGTTCCTATATAATAATAAGATGTTTTCTGGTTTTGCAGGTCACAAAGGCATATAACTACATTCACAAAAATGGACATAAATCAAAGTTGATGGCAGCAGCAGTTCGTAATAAGCAGGATCTATTCAGTCTCTTGGGGTAATTTATATCAGTCACCTTTTAATTTTGTAATTTTTATATAGTTACGAATTCTTACAAAAATTAAGGTATGAACTTCCTGCTCATGATGTCTGTTATGTGTTCAGGGTTGACTACATCATTGCACCGCTGAAGGTATTGCAATCACTCAAAGAATCCGTCACTGCCCCTGAAGATAAGTACTCTTTCATCAGGAGGCTATCTCCACAAACTGCTGCCACCTACAAGTTCAATGAAGAAGAGGTAACTTTCTTCCTGTGCTCGGTTTATTTATTCAGCATCAGGAGTTTCTCATTCTAAATTGTTGGTTGGGGGGTAGTACACGAAGAAACGAAATGAATTTTACAAGGTTCCTCTATAATATATGTGAAGCAAAGGTGCATCAGGTTAATAGGTTCTCCTGCGTGTTGTGTGTAGTGCTGCTGCCTGTTGGTATTTCAATATCAGTCTCTTATTTCATGTGACAAGGGCAAAAGGATGCCATTAAACAAGTAGTGGTAAACTTATGAGCGACTCTATTTCCTTGAGAAGTGGATGCTGTGTGCAAAACTACTAAATATTTTGTTTGAACCTCTTTTCTTCTTGAGCGGTTAGTTTTAATAAACCTTGCCAATTGGTGATGAGAATGCATAGTTACCCATGACAGTATCTTAATGTTTTAAAGTCTTGCATTTTGGAAACAAAGCTCTACAGCGCAGACGTTATTATAACTACTAGAAATACAATGAACTCGGACATGGAATTCCTCTGATCCTCTAGAATCACCAATGTATGGCTGCACACCCACCATCATCATCTTTCCCATATATAGGAATATCACTATTGTGGACACAATTTTCCTACTTCAATTTGAGGCTTGATTTTGAACCCGTCGGGACCATGAGAAGTGTAAAGTGGAGTAATCTTTGGCTTTGGTGAGAGGAATCCGTGTGTTGTCCTTGGTGATTCTGTGTGAGCTTGATAAAGAACACAATACAAGGGGTTTCTTTTTGGGTGTTTTGTGTTTGGTTTGGGTAGAGGGCTTTTCTGGCTTTAAGTTTTCCTTCTTTCCCTCATGAAGTTCTTCTCTCTCTTATTTCCCCCCTTCTTTCTCTCTTTGGCTTCTACTTCTTGGTACCCTTCCTCTTGGTTTTCTTGCAAAAGAATAACCAGAAAGGTTGGATTTCACAAATTATTTTTGATCACGCGTTGTTGTTTTGATTTGAAGGACAATTGTGTCCACAACTCTATTGATTTGATAGTCAGTGCTTCTTTGGTAGGCTCCATTTTATGTCCGAAAACCTTGTCTTTTCAAAAGTTGGTGATACAATATTTCTTCCCGCCATGGATGGCAATGCTCAACTACATGTCATGAGCACGAGTGGCTAGCTCTTCAAAGGTCTGGGGCTTATTACCTTCGAGGATGTAGAGTAATCCCCAATGCATACCTTGCATGCACATCTCAACTGCTGACACTTAAGAAAACACGTGTTTGCAACTAATGTGTAACGAATACCATCGTTTGATGTAATCCATGATCAGTTCATCCTCCCACTGTTTCATATTCGCAAGCTCCATCATGGTACAGCGAGTGCTATAGAAGCAGGATCTAGATTTGGGCTCCAACCAGTTGAATGCATTCCTTTCCAAGGAACAGGTAAATTGTTTTACAAGAAGGTCACCTTCTGTCCTAGCATTGTTACTAGTTTTGATGAAATCAGCAATATGTTGTTTTGGTTTGCCATTTCCGTCGAATTGCATGAACTTTGGAGGCTGGTGTCCTATCGGAAACCACAAGCTATCCATCCTCCTCGTGTAATGCATGGTATACATCAGAGTATCCTGAGAGGGAGCCCCGTACTGAGCCCTAATGGTGTTTGTATTCATGTCTTGAAAATTGCATGAACTTTGGAGGCTGGTGTCCTATCGGAAACCACAAGCTATCTATCCTCCTCGTGTAATCCATGGTATACAACAGTGTATCCTGAGAGGGAGCCCCGTACAGAGCCCTAATGGTGTTTGTATTCATGTCTTGAAGTTGTTGGACATATAAGGAACCCGTTGAGGCACGCTCGAACTTTAACTTTAATTTCTTGCTAGGTTTAGTTTCTTGATGTGATCTGTATGTCTTTTTCAGAGTCATGTAGCACTGGATTCAGAGTCATGATACACTTCTCTGGTTCTTGACTATATTCTCCAGTTTTTTGCAATTCTAGCTTTTTCCTAAGTGAGGTGATCTGTATGTCTTTTTCCTTGAGCATATTTGCTAATTTGGCAATCACCTACTTCTTCTTGGCCAGTTCTTCTTCAACAGAAATGACTCCTGTCAACATAAACTGCATAGCCATAGAATCTGAACCTGCCATTGATACCGAGGGTATCACAGGAAACTCACTAATTTGGTCATCAGTAAGTGATCCATGGTAAGACCCTGTGCTTAATTCATTGTCTGGAAGTGGTGGGAGTGATCACTCCCTTGAGTTCTTTAAACCCTTCTTATTTTCATGGGAACTCATCCAAATCTTTCCAAGGGCATGCTTATCTGCCCCCAGGAAAGCTAGATTGATTACTAGTCCATTCTTTTGGTGTATGCTTTGTGACTTAAGGTGGAAGTGGTGGGGAGTTGACATGTTGAGTTGAGGATAACACCGGTAGAGTCTAGGCTTGTGGTGGAACCACTCATGTTCCTGTCCTTGGTTGCGGGAATGGCTCGACTTTTTTTGGAAGCCATTGATTTTAGCGGATTGTTTAGTGCTTTTAAATGGAGGAAAAGATGCGAGATAAAGATGTCCTACCAGGCGTGCCGAAACGATTTTCTTGCTTCAAATCAAACGGGACCATGTTCCTAAAAATAATTTTTGAGCTACAACCTCTGCGGTTTATTCTTTAAGAAGAATACTCCCTTAATTGATTCAAGGGTGGCAAGACTTGACCTTGAACATGTCAGGACCCCAAAGAAGTGCCAAGTGGTTGAGTAATCTTCTGCTCGGGTGTTGAAGGAATTATCACGTGTGTGTTATATTTGGTGATTCTTTTCACGTTTTTGGCTTCTACTTCTTGGTTCCCTTCCTCTTGGTATGTGTGCCGCATGATTTCTGCTTTCATGTAGGAGGTTATTCTCTTCGATTGGATTCCTTAGGCTTAAACCAGGTCACATGAACGTGTTTTTGGTTATAGCGTGAATAAGAAGTTTCTCATACTTTTATGAATAATTCCTCAAGGCTCAACCAAATAGTGATTCTGTTTTTAGAATTTAAGTTCTGGAAAGGGTTTAGACTAATCTATATCAGTTAGATGTCTGTCTAATTGTTACTGGTTCAACCTGATAGACCTCTCCGGTGGAAAAAATAGTTTGAACAGACTATCGAAGTGCATTTCATTTTACGTTTAATAACTAATCTTTTCCTTGTGTCCAGCTTATCAAGTGGGATCAATTAAGCTTTGCATCAGCTGTGGGACCTGCAGCCGTGGAACTTCTTGCCAGCGGACTGGATGGTTATGCTAATCAAGCAAATCGAGTCGAGGAGTTATTTGAGAAGATTTGGCCACCTCCAAATGTATGAAGACTAGTGCTTTCTTCTGTTGGTAAGGGGATCTTGCCTTTCGTGGAACAAGAAGGAAATACCGTTTTGGCTTTCGTTTCTCCTTTCCCTTTCTCTTTTCCTCTCTTGTACCGTTTTACTTTTATCCCGAAAAAACTTGATCTCACCAAAAAAGACTTCTATTTGATCATAAAAATGCGAAGTAAAATCGTAAACACATGAGATAATAATGCCAATGAAGTTACACCCCCATTCCCTTTTCATAAATGCCGGTAAATATTGTTATACACGTGAATGAACCTAGCCTCCGCGACGCCAGGGGAGGGGATGGATGGATTTAGTGCATTTTGCAGGTCGTTTAGTTGTCGACCTTCAATGTTTCGATACATTTTGCCAACATTGCAATATTTTGCTCCGTAGGATCAATGGTGTCGATAAAAATGAAAACAAATAGTTGCTCAAGTGGTCACCTATACTCTCTTTTTGGTTACATTAAACAGTAGTTTCTACTATTTAATTTGCTACCAATGGGAGGAGCAAAAGATTCGTGTTTGATGTTACCATACCTTTTTTTTTTCTTATACGTACTCTTGTTTAATCTTATTCATTGTTTCTGTTGGATTTATTTAATTTAATGACAAAAGGTAAATAAGATTGTGTCAGAGGTTAAAAATGGAGGGTGAATTTAACTCCCTTTTTAGAATTAACTCATACATTTTCTTTCATCTTACACTCTTGTTTAAGCTTGTTAGTTGTTTCTGTTTGATTTATTTTAAACGAAACAAGATACCCCAAAACTTATAAATTAGTATAAATACATAAATGTACATAATCCCTTGGTTATAGAATTAATAGGGTTGAAATATCCCATATCGACACTATATCTGAGAAAAGAAGAGTTTAAATATCATAATTCCACTCCAACTAATATCGAGGCCTTTGGTGACAAAACCTCATCACCTGACGCATTATGCAGGTGATAATTATCGGACAATATTAGTGTTGTTGGTAGTGGGTATTTGGTTCATCTCTTTGATAATTTTACATGGTATTAGAGCAAAGTTCAATCTTCGGTAGCTTCGTGCACCCACAGGCCATGAATCTGAGAAGAAAATAAATGTTTGCTGCCATGAAGAAGAAAAAAGGGAAGAAAAAGTATGGTTTCGTTGCCTTGGAGAAGAGATTAGAAAAATAAATAAATTTTTTGATTGAATAATCATGTGTGTCTTTTTGTGTTTTATTTTATTTTTTTAGTAAGTTTAGTTGGTTTTGAGTTTGAAGAAGAGAAAAAAGGTGGATGAAAAAAAAAATGAGAAAAAAGATATAAAAAAAGAAGAAGAGAGATTTGTTGGTTGGGACTTCTGAAAAGTGGTGTTAGTTTCTATTGGGTTTTCGAAAAGATTAGTGTTTATTCCAACTGAACTTTTTAAAAGAGCCGTTGGTTCCAACATATCAGGATATTTATTTATCAGGCTTTCGAAAAAAGATGTTAGTTCCAATTAGGCTTTCGAAAATATTAGCGTTACTTCCAGTTGGGCTTTCGAAAATAGGTATTAGTTTCAAGGATTATTATTTGTTAGTTTGGCTTTCGAAAAGAGACGTTTGTTCTAGTTGGGCTTTTGAAATGATTGACGTTAGGCATTCGAAAAAAGGCTTTGGTTCTGAAGGATTGTGATTTGTTGAGCTTTCAAAAAGATTAGCTGTTAGTCTCCGCATACCAATGAAGACTTCCTTCTTGGCAAACTCATGATTTCACATCATGGGTTTGAGGAGGAGGGGGGGCTGGGGAAGGTATTTTAGGGATATGATTTATTTTTTAGTATTGTTCTTTTGTAATCTTATAAATACCTTCTTATGTAGAAGAATAAAGTATTGAAGTTGTATTTGAGAATTGAGAATTCTAAATTTATACTACACTCTTTATTTTCAACTTTTGGTACTAGAGCCAGGGAGCGGGCAAGTACTGCTACGTGATGGGTGGGTCCCAATGGTCGACACGATGATGGTTGGTCCCTTGGCTCCGCGTGTAGGGTGAGTCTCATTGGCTCCATGTAACTCAATATGTGGATCTTCCACGTGTGACCCACTAATTAGGTCCCATGTGAGGGGCCGTGTTGAAATATCCCACATAGACCATATCCTTGATAAAAGAAAAGTTCAAATATTCTAACTTCACTCCAACTAATACCAAGCTCTTTTATGATAAACCCCACACTTGTCGAATTGTGCAAGTGGTTATTACCAAGTTCGGGATAATATCAGTAGTGTTGGTAGTGGGTTTTCGACCCGTCTCTCTGATAATTCTACAAATAGTTGAACAAATGCCATAAGTGCAGGATTTGAACTAATTAGTCTGAGACCTTAATAAATTTAATTCTACCATAGAAAATGTGTTGGTTATTTATTTTATTTATTAAAGATTCAAAACTTTATTTATTATTATTGAAAAAGAATAAATACGAAGAGTCATATCTATTAGAGAAGTTATGCCTTTTATTAAGGGGTGTGTAGAGTTTTATAAATAGAGAACTTGTGACATCCCGTCCCGGAAATATCGAAAACGTACACGTGAAATGACTATTTTACCCCTAGTTTGTTTTCGTTATGTTGTTTAGTCATTTTGTGTGGTGTTGGCATGTGTTGGGCCACACACACACACCCTATCATCTCCCTCACCCTCTGTCTTTTCCCTGTCTCTCTCTCCCGAGCTCCCTTCTTTCTTCTTCTTCCTTCGAACGTACGGACACACACATAACTACACCAAACCATTACAGATCGAAGAAACTAAGGGCACAGTCGAGATCGTGAAGCTCGTGGGAGCACGATCGTACCATTTTCAGGTAAGAAATCCGTCGTTTTCACGTCGATTCGACAATGGCAGTTTTGAGTACTATTCATGCAAACTTATTTCATCACGTTTTTGGGAATTTGAAGTTCATAGATAGCTTGGTGGTGTCCCAAGGAGCCTCGGAGTGCTTCGTTGGAGGAGTTTGGACGTCGGGATTGCCCTGTTCGAACTTGACCGATTTTGGAGGTTGGTGACAGGTGAGTTTTCGTAGGTTTTAGCCCTTCAAATTTGTATGGACATGTTCTACTAGTCTAGGGCTTCATTTTGGTTCAAGAATCGTGGAAAATGGTTGAGAAACGAGTGAGAAAACACGAATTGCAGGTTTTTCCAGTTTCCGGCGCCGGCGACGTCGCCGGAGGCTCGCTGGAGAAGGTGACGGAATCCGTTAAAACTAACGGAATATTCCTCACGGCGTCAGTTGACGCCGTCAGCGTGCCAGGCACGTGCCTGCGCGTGGTCGGCGCGTGGGGGCGCGTGCGGCGGAGGAAAATTTTTCTAAAAATATGGGTGTGATCCTGAGGTTGTGTAGAGCACGTTGGTATATTCATTTGTCCAATTTGAGCAATGTATGTGAAGTTATTACGAGAAGTTGGTTATGTGCTTTAAAATTGACGTTTTTATAGTTGTTTCGCATATAGGTGATACGTACCCCGAGGACGAGCGTGGTCACTCGAGGCAGGGGGGCTACGACCCTTCCATTTACCAGTGAGTGGGCTTTTGGTTTTCCGTATATACCTATATACTATATTTTCCCAGAAATTGAATTAATGTTTATCAGTTTATGCCATGCATTACATTATCGTTATTCGTGCATCGTTGGTTATGTTAGTAGTTGCATATATATATACATATGCATATTGGGTGCTGTGGACGCACAGGTAAGTGCCAGGTAAGTGTTATTCATATTTACATTCAGTAGCAGTTTGAGATGTTTAGAGAGCTCATAACCTGCACCCCCGGTGTTAGTGCTCCCGCCCAGAGTAGGGCACAGTCCTTCACGTGATGTTCACCTCCCGTACCACACGCTCAGCTTGGATCCAAGTTAGGTGCACAGTCTTGTCGTACAGACCACACTAGGTGGTTCCGACTCGTAGGTGACCCGCGATTATTCGCACAGCCTTCACGTGATCGTAGCACTAGAGCGTATATATATGTTACACCCAGGCCTGTCGTACAGACCACTTTAGGTGGTTCCGACTCGTGGGCAGGTTTAGTATTGAGATTGAGATTTGAGCTCTATAT